CCTCCATGTCCCACCTGTCCATAGTTACCACCATACACACACACACACACACAGAGAGAGAGAGAGAGAGAGAGAGAGAGAGAGAGAGAGAGAGAGAGAGAGAGAGAGAGAGAAAATCTGTTAAAATAATTTCTCATTTAAATTGAAAATGTTAAAAACCTTTAGTTTTTGGATCACAGAAAAATCCAAAAGCACTGCATCAGAAATTAAACTAGGAAAAAACACTCAAATATTTTACAATGGAATGTGTTCCAAAATGATTCTATCATTATGTTTTCAAATATAATTGATGATAATCTATGTACTTATAAATCACATTTTGAGAAATCACAAATTAATATCAATCTATTATGTTGTAAATATTTTTGTTGTTGTTGTTTGTTTTTCAGTACTAGGGATTGAACCACTGGGTGCTCTAACACTAAGCTAAAACCCCAGCCTTTTTATTTTTTTTTTTCATTCATTTTGAGACAGATTTTTTTCTAAGTTGCCCAGGATGGTCTTAAACTTGCCATCCTCCCTTCCTTAGCCTCGCTGAGAGCTGGGATTACAGACATGTGCCACCCTGCCCAACTAATATTGTAAATATTGTAAGATTTATAAAATTGGAGCACCAATAATGCTTCTCTATATTAAATGTTAAAATAGTGCCATTTTGTTTTTTTAGGTGAATCTTTTCTTCCTATTAAATATTGTACGTGTGCTCATCACCAAGTTAAAAGTTACACACCAGGCAGAGTCCAATCTCTACATGAAAGCTGTGAGAGCTACTCTTATCCTGGTGCCATTGCTTGGCATTGAATTTGTTCTTATTCCCTGGAGACCTGAAGGAAGGATTGCTGAGGAGGTATTTGACTACATCATTCACATCCTTATGCACTTCCAGGTATGGCATTCAACATCAGTAAGCAGTTTGAGAAATTTGTTGTTAAATTTGAATATAGCTTTGGTTTCATTGTTGACTGCTAATGGGTCGAGTTAGTTATAAATACATGTATCTTTTTCATTGGGATTCAAATAGAGTTCTATTTTTCTCTTACAGGGTCTTTTGGTCTCTACAATTTTCTGCTTTTTCAATGGAGAGGTATGTCAGTTTATTTTATTCCTGTTGTCATTTGATATGTATTTTCCTTAAAAATAAGATAGAATTATAAATTCCCTAAGAACAATTATTTCAAATTCCATTTCTATCAGAGAAAAGAGCTATAATATTTATTATTGTAAGTGAAAACTTCCTCCTCAAGACATATTGGAGAAAAGTCAACCACACTTTAAAATACTTTATCAGTGACTTTTATTCATCTAGTTTTCTGACCTACCAACAGATCCTATTAATTCTGGACTTTGCCTCAGGTATGATGTAAGGTGATACTTAACTTCATAGAAGATGGACTATAACAAGAGAGAGAATCCTTTTTTAATTTTTGCCATTCCCTGCCCTCACATCCTGACCTATTTCACAGTGTAGCTTTTGGAAAAAGCTTTAAAGTGGATACAAAAAGATGTAAACAAACTAAACTCTCAGTTGTACAAGGGAAAGGTGCAGTTGTTGGAAAATTTAGAATAGAATTCTGTAATTGCTATAATCCATAACATGGCAATGTATTCTGAATACTTCCGATTTTTATCTATGGCTTTCTTACTTGGGAGTTTGAGAATTTAAAATCTGGTACTATATTACATACATATGGATATTGTTGTAAATCAGTGGTTCCAACTTTAGTTTTTCATATGTTTCTATTCTACTTGACAAATTTTAACCTGTAGGATTTTGGCAAACTCGAGTACACTTTAGAAATCCGGACAGTAACTGAATGAGAAGTGGACAGTTGGTAACTGGGAAGCTTATCATAAAGCTTCAGATGGGGAACCAGATGGCATTAACCTTAGGAGAATCAGTCCTAAAACACAAATCAGCATTGGAAATCATGGTACATGTCATAGAAAACCATGAAATATTGTTTTGCCTGGCTTAAATAATATTTTATGTATTTCTCTTGGCAAATAATGCAATTCATTGCTTATAGATTAAAATTAAAATATATTGTAATTTCAAGATATACATGTTTAGTGTGTATATCTATACTACTAATAATGGTATGTGGAATGTCAGCACATATTAAGTGCTTATTTCCATGATTCTGACACACTGAAAACAAGATGTTGCTATTTTCTCAAAGTCAATGAGAAGTATGGATGGAACACTATCAGGATAAACAGATACATAATTTGTTTTGAAAATAAGATTCATAAAGTCTTTGTTATGTACCTCTGTAAATGTACTAGAGTACATATGGAGCTAGACAGTCCTCTATGCTGTCAATATAGGATGTAACATTTAGATAGAGATGAGAATGATCTGGACACATGCCAAAGAATGTGCATGAAACACAAAAGGTCTACCTCTATTCCTACAGAAGCAGATTTTATTTTTATAATGTGTAATTTTTAAATAATCACTAGCAAAATATTTGGTGATAGGAGACAATATAGAATAAACACAGCGATGCATTAAAAACCCAGTGGCTGCTATATTTTGGGAAATGCTCCAAATTTGGGAGTAGGTGTTTAATCTTTATTAAAGGGAAGTAAAAACAAGTTCTTTCTACATTAATTTCACAAGGATTAATGTAAACTAGGGCATGTAAAGATTTTTGTGCAATGTTCCACCATCACTAAATCCTTAGTATATTATAGATCCCTGAAAAGGTTTGTCAAACAACTTATTTTCAAAAATACATGTACAAATGGCAACATTCATCATATTGGAATCAGAATCTCAGATTGGCTCTTTTATTTAGAAAGGGTGCCCAGAGACTATAAAAACTAATGCTCCACACTCCTGTTACACTTTATCTGTATAAGCAAAAGAGACACAGGCCCTTGATCTTCTGCCATATCCTAAAATTGAGAACATTTTGGCACTGGAAAATTATAATAATAATAAGCCTTTGAACCAGGTTCTTGCCAAATCCTTTGGTTCTTCACAACATCTCTAATATCTGTCCCTTTTTCTTTATCTCTGGAGATACAATCCCTGTTTGAGTATGATTCATCTCTCATCTTAAGAAATACTATAATCCCTCCTTTTTATCTCCTTGCCTCTAAGTTTTTCCCACTTTCATAACATGAAGAAATAGTGCCAAATCCACTTTGTCTGGTTCCAACTATGTCATGTTCTTAAAACCAATCTACTCAGGCTTAGTTTCTTTCTTGCTTTCCACTTTAGGTCCAGTGGTTTGCCTTTAGCCTAAAATTGTTGGCTTTTTTTTTTCTTCTACCTTTTATTTATTTTTAGCCAACATCTTCCTATTGGTATTTCTCAATAGTCAAACAACAGTGGCTTTACAAGTGCTCTGTCCTCTTTCCTCTCATCCCTAGTCCACAGAGACAAAAATGTGCACTATTAACGTGAATGAGAGACTGGCCATCAGAAGGATATATTTAACAACAATGGAAGGTAGATTTTTTTTTAAAGTGAACAAAAATATTTTCTGAGAACAACTGAACTCACGTTTTATAATGAGAATAAGTAGATTTCTGTGTGAAGCTCTATTAAAATTTTTAACTGATTTAGATTAAGGAGCAGAGACTTAGATCCTTATCAGGTATTAATTAGCAAGCATATAAGGTTGTGATGTTATATTCTACATATTTGACTAAATTACTTGTATGATGCTAATAAATAAAACAACAAAAACATACTCAAATCTTTAATAACACTTCATTTAAGTTTATGAAATGGCCACTTTAATTTTCTGTTGAGCCAGTGTGATCTTGTATTAGAGGAAGCAGATAAAAATGTAACATCCTAATAGAGAATAATATAAACAAACAGAAGACTGCAAAATTAAAAATAAACAAATTAGGTTTATTTTTAACTTCAGTAAATAAAAACCCATACTTCAGGACACTGACCTTCCATGGTTTTTGTGATAATTTAGTTGCAAAGAAGAAATAGAAGGATGGCCTTTATCAAATATATTTCAAGGCAAAACATGCAAATATTTCAAAAGCTATCTTGTCTTTTAGAATTGAATTTAAGCTTTCCTTTTGGGGGCTCGCAGCTAATATATTTCTTGTGGTCAGCTTCTCAAATTTATGTAGAATCTTTTCTGCAAAAGTGTGCTCTACTCTCTTTTCTTTCCACCTGAAGCTATATTTCTGTATTCCAACAACAGTCCAATAATAACAGTAAACTGAGGAGGAATTTATAACATATAAAAAGAATCATAATAAAAATAATTTTTATCTGCTATCTTTTATGGGTTAGATATGAAGTGTTCCCCAAAAGCTCATATGTTAAACAATTCTAGAACTTTCAGAAGTTGACTGATGTGTTATGAGAGTCTTAATCTAATCAGTGCATTAATCCAGTTGGATGAATTTATTGGGTGGAAACCATTGGCTGTGGCTCTGGGATATATATTTTGTCCTTGGTGAGCCCAGTATGCTCTCTCTCTGCTTCCTGATACCATGTCCTAAGCTGATTTCATATACCACACCCTTCTGCCATGATATGCTGCCTTACCTTGCATCCAAAGCCATGGACTGAGATCTCTTAAACCATGAACTTTTCCTCATATACATTGACCTTCTCAGGCCTTTTGGTTAGAGCAGAGAAAAAGTTGACTAAAACATCATCAGAAATATTTAGAAAGTCAAATTTTTTTTTGTTTGAAATCTCTGTTTATTTATCTAAAATGCACAATCTAAAACTATCGCTGCATCCTGCACACCAAGGGATCAGTAAACTGAATGGAGATGTGAACTGGCTGAGAAATTAAAAGTCTGAAATAATTAATAAGAATTAAAAGACAAAAGATACAGAAAAATAGTTTCACAGCAGGGACCCAGCGGATGGAATAGGCTCTGAGTCTGTTCCCTAACAATAAGTGGGGTTCCACATGCTTTATTTATAGGGAAGCACATCAAAGAAATTTATTGTGAGAAAAAGATTTTTGAGGTAAATAAGAAGAAAGAGGCTATGAGGACCAATTGGCCTGAATGGAGACTTATCACTTGTGCATTAATTGAAGAATTAAATAATTCCTGCCTCCTCCAGGCAACTAGCCACTCGAGGATATTTGGGCACTCTGATACCTCTTTCCACCTCCAGGGAGTTTTATTTGAACCTAGGGCTGTCTGAACCAATACATTCTGCAGTATCTCAGAATTCTTTTTGAGCAGGACTTGTTAAGGCAAGTCTAAGTGGTCTGAGATCGCTGAGATGACACTGAGAGTTCTCCAAGGGGCACACCTCTGCTTACACAGGGCTCAGACAAGCCCACAATTCATTCATAAAACTATTCCATTTGTCATTTGATTATGTTCTTGAAGATATTAAATATACAGATATTATTTTTAAAATTTCTTGATTCAAATTTTTCTTTGGAGGATTTAGAATGACTAAACCAAGAGCAAAGTATCATTGTTTTTTGCAAGACAAAACATTTATTGTCTAAAAATGCTTGTGTTTTCAAAGCACATTTACCTGAAAATAAATTATTTCCTCAGTTTTGTTTATCATATAGAAAGAAATGAGCTTGAAAGTCTTTCCTAATGAACTTTGTAATAACATAACTTTGAAACCCAAGTTACAGCATTTGACTTATAATTTCTAAATCACAGAAGCTAAATGGAAATTTTAATAACTCATTTTGAATTCTAACTATAGAAATTGTTCACTCTGAATTTGATGCTTCCTTTTTATTTTCTACATTCTAAAACATAAAGGGACAGTACAACTTTGTGTTCATTTTAAGTGACAGAATATAGGAGACTTTAACAGGACTCTGAAGATATACTGGCAATCCTTATTTGCTACAGAATGTAATTTTGAGAAGGAAACACAATGAAATACATTTATAAAGATTTAATAATGATTTTCATATAGGAATATAGTCAATAGAAAGTTGAGGAATTATATATAAGGAGAATATAAAGAGAATTGAAACAGTTACTGAATAAGTATGTTAATAGTATGTGAATTACTGGAAAATTATTTTAATATGCTCAGAGTTCCTTTGAGGAAATAGTCACAGGGTTAAAGACCTGTAGAGAGCTTGGAGAAGACCAAACAATGCACACTTAAGGTAAAAGTAGATAGGGACAGAAGGATTGGGCAACTAATCTTGAAGCAGGATACCCCAAGCCAATCTACACACATTTCAGTCCTGGAATGTCCAGTTTATCAAGTTCAAGGTGTATTTCAATATTCTTATTTGGGCCCACTGACTTAATATGAGGAATACTGGCCACACTTGGTGGTGAACACTTACAATCCCAGAGACTCAGGAGGCGAAAGCAGGAGAATAGCAAGATCAAGGCCAGCCTTAGCAACTTACTGAAAATCTGTCTCAAAATAATAAATAAAAAAGAACTGTGGATGTAGTTCAGTATTAGAGTGCTCTTAGGTTCAATCCCAGTACCAAATACACACACACACTTTTAGGGTCTTAATGTAAACTAAAACACAAAATCACTGTATGTGACCCATCTAGACTCAATCTCTAGCTCAAATCAGAAAATAAAAGTCACTAAATTAAAAATTCACTCATGGAAAGGAGGTTCCAAATACACAGAAGTGCAGAAGTAAAATTCCTAAACTTTTTTTCAAAGTATTCATCCCATCTACAACTATCTGTCCAATACTTTTCATTCTTCTAGGAAGTAAGCTCCATGTGAAATGAATACCCTGCTCTTTCATTTTCAGAGTGTAGCCCAATTTCTGGCATATGGTAATCATTAAATAAAAGATTGCTATTTTTTATATTTATTATATCTTATGTTTTATTTGATGGCAATAAATATGTAACAATTATTAATAATTCAAAGACAAGGCATGGAATAAAAATATTAGAGAAGTATTAAAATGTAATAACAATGTTTCTTAATGTCAACACAATTTACTTAATTTTTAACTAAATAAGAAAATGAAGCAATATTATTCAGTAACATCAATGTTTTTTCAAGAACAACTTTTCTACATCATATTTTATTATTATATTCTATATTATATTTAAAATATTTTGCTGTGTTTTAAATATAATATCTTCACTTCAATTAATGGATTTCTCTTGTTTCTTTTTGATGGATAGGTTCAAGCAATTCTGAGAAGAAACTGGAATCAATACAAAATCCAATTTGGAAACAGCTTTTCCCACTCAGATGCTCTCCGTAGTGCATCCTACACAGTGTCCACAATCAGTGATAGTCATGAATGTCCTAGTGAACACTTAAATGGAAAAAGCATCCATGATATTGAAAATGTTGTCTTGAAACCAGAAAAATTAAGTGATATAGTTATATGAAAATAGAGGCATCATTGCCTGATTCATGCCAATCTTAACTCAAGGATTTGGACCTGTGATTTTACAGCAGAAGACTTCAATATTAAATGAATTTCTCTAAAGCCATAAAGACAGCCTTCAACTTAAAGGAGAATTGTGTTGATAAATTTTTGACAACTAGCTCTATGTGGGGAAGAAGGCCCTGATTTATATAGTTTGCCAGTAAATACTTTGACTATGGCAGATTTCAAACTACCAACTTGACATCACTGAATGTGGAACTGGGAAAAATGATAGGCACAGTTGACTCTCATGAGCTTATGTGGGTCAGCTGCAGCACATCACTGCAAGAACTGACAGATGAGTAAGACCAAAGGTTCACGTACACATTGGGTATAACATTACTCTCGTCACCTAAGGAGATCTAGCTAAGTTTTCCACACTTTGAAGAGAAAGTTAGTTTTTACATGTTGGCTGTTTAAAATCTTAATCCCAGTGTCACAGGTGTAGTTGATTTTTGCTTACCCAGAAAGCATTCTAACCCTTTTTTGTAATACCTTTTCAAATGGACCAGACAGAGTTAATTATCCCTGTTGGCTTACCCTCTTCTCCCTATGAAAAGTAACAGAGTTTCTATGAGCTATTCATTTTCTGATACATCTTGATTATATTCTATGGCATGTCCTTTTTTGAGACTTAGTGAACAGGCTGCATGATATGTGATCCTACTTCTGTATCATTAGGGAGACATCCTAGTTAATGCTATAAAACACCTAGCAGCTACTTCCTGCTTTGCTATAGGAGTGGGAGGGAATCAGTTTCCCTGAATCTGTAAATAGAAATCTTTGCCCCTTCCATTTCTACTGTGTAGACAAATTAGCAATCATTTTAGATGAAGGAAATCAATGAAGGATTTCTTATTATCTTGGAAGTTTGTAAAAAAAAAAAAAAAGATTGTTGTGAAAAATGAGCTTGTAAATACTCCAGTATTTTATTTTATAGTCTCAAATGCCCACTACCTAGGTATTTTTTTTTAAAAAGTAGATACATAATGCAACAATGTATACATGTTAATATCTGATACTGTGTCTGGGCTGACTTCATAATAAAATAGAGTCTGGTATTCTATATTTGGTAAATATTTTAAGGACAACCAGATGCCAGCATCAGAAGTTTGAGAGCAAAAAATAAAACATAAACATCTATGGTAAATATAAAATATTTATTTTAAAAATGAAAGGCCATTATCTTATTGACATATTAGTTTTGTAATTCATACCCTAATAGTGGGTGTGCTTGACATATTTTCCTTCCATTTCGATGATGAACTCATAATCTAGAAATTTTCAACAGCTACTGTAATAAATGCCAATTTACTCTCCGTATGGGTTTTACCACATTAAAGTACTATTTTACTGACTTATACTATAAGATTAAATATGGGTTTGGAAATGTCCCAGATTATTAAAGAAAAGAAACTAGAGGAAGACATATATAACAATGTTTTATTAGGGAACAATTGTCAGACATTTTTTCAATAATTAAATTAAGATGGTAGGAAAATTTGCTAATGAATTAAACTGACATTTAAATGGGATTCAGTTTTTCTAATGTTATTTTCACTGGAATCTCCAAAGAACAACAATGACTTCAATTAGTGAACATCAATTTTAGGACAAGTTTTTATGTGGTGTGTTTTTTAAGTGTGTCAACTTTAGATGGATTGAAATAATGATTTATTATCATAAGTTGTTTCTTAAGCCATCGATAATGTTGAGTTCTGAAGTCATTTGAAATTGTCAAGGAAAATTCTCTAAATTAGTAAGAATTTACATACTAAATGGTCTGGTAAATGCATTTATAATTTATCTATGCATGTAAAGGTATCATTAAGTTAGTTTCAAATTTACAAATTTCATAGCAAGCTGTTATAAAAAGGAACGCAGGCTGTTCTGAACTTTCAACTGCCTAAATTATACAAAATTTCCACTTAATAAATTCAATTTTAGCTATTTATTGTCAAAGACACAGATTCATGTCTTTTGCAGACAATGTCCATGTATTTCAGCATTCTTCTAGACAATCTGTCAGTTTCAACCCTACATGGCAGTAGAAATGTTGAATTGTCAGAGAGCATGTTAAAATGATATTGTAATTTTGAAGTATTTTTATTGTGCTTTGATCTTATTTAGTGTGGATGAGATTGAGATTTCTTTTATTGCCAAGGTTCATCTGATATACAGTGCTCAGATGTACCAGTCAATCTGTGATTAATCAGTATTAGTTTTATACTCAAATATTTTAAAATTAATATTTTTAAATAATAGATTTCTCTAAAGGTGAACTGCTAATTAAGATCTTTGTATCTTACTTGTAAAGAAAAATAATTCTGATATTTTTAAGAAGAAAACTTCTTTGGTATATAAAAACTAATTTGGGGAATTTCTAGCTTTTAAAACATAGATCTGACATTTTCCTGCAATTGTGAAAGTCATAATTTAATTTTCTAAAAATTCTATTTTGTCATTTTTTTCAAAAGTTGTTTTCTAGTGAATTCATTACAAAACATCCAATCTGAAATTTATTGTTTGTTCAAATGTAACCTAATGTACATGGAATTTCTGGTTGTAGTGCTATATGTATTGATCATAAATTTTAATGTGAATTTAATTTCTCTTGGTTTTAATCTGCTAATAGAAACATTATCTGTAAAAATATTCAAGGTATTATGATCAATTAAAACAACTCATGTTATATCTACTTAAAATGTCTCTGTCTTAACTTTATGAAAATATTAAAATTACGAGTTAAAGTTGACTTTCACTCATATATAATAGAGTGCTAAATAATTCAATTTCTAAAAATAAATTTTAGAGTGATCAATGGAATATCTATATTACACTCCTTAAGATCTTCAATAAACTAGTAAGTGAATTTAATAAACCAATTCAGAAAAAGTTATGAATTTATTCTCAAGTTAAGAAAATACAAATGAACTATAATTTATACAAATTCTTTCTTATGCCCATAGGAAGGGGAAAGATGCCCCAAATAGGAAAATGTGTTGGAAATTGTCTCCTTTCTCCACTATATTCCACTATGTGGTTTTGTATTTAACACTAGAAAAGAAGAAAGAGAATTATTAAAAGATTTTTTAAATTAAGAAGGCATAGTCATAATTTTCACAAATGGAAAAAAAATGTATGAGGACTTTTGTTTAACTCATTAATAAATGATGAAACCAGTAACACGTTACAATCTTTTGAAGGACAATTCAAATTATCATATATATTTGAGAATTTTTAAAATGCTGCAATGAACTTATAAATAAATGCAAAACTGCTCTATTAGTTACTTTTTACTGAATAATTTCTATTTCTGTGATCAAGAGTAATATACATTTTTATCAGTTTTATGCAATTAACATATTAGTAAAATAGCTCAAAATAATCAAAGGTAGGTATAACTCAGGATGGCACACCAGTAAGCATTAGAAAAAACATTTTAATAACTCATATATAAGTAAATAATAAATTGTGGGTCATCTGATAGCTCTGAATTTAATTTGTGTGTGTGTGTGTGTGTGTGTGTGTGTGTGCATGTGCGTGCGCGCGCGCGCGTGCACTTGAAGGCGGGGAGATTAAATATATATATATATATACATTTCAAAGATTTTTGAATGTTTTCTTATAATTTCTCCTTTTTTGTGTTTATAATAGTTTCAAACAAACAATATTCTTGATTCAAACTACTGCTAATTTGATAGGAGTTGACTCGATTATTTACATGGCTATGTGGGAGTGTTAATGATAACATAGACATTCTAAGTTTGTTTCATAAATCTAAAACTATACTGCATTTTTTAACAGCTTCATTGAGATACAGGTCACAAACCACATAACTCTCTACATACTTATTAATGTATTAGTAAATTTTAGTATATTCACAGATACACGTTGCCACCACCAAAATTTTATTAGATTTTTATGAACTTGAGAAAAATATATATTTTTAATCTACTCCTCATCTGTTCCCACTTCCCTGCTCCTAAATCAGTCCTATGCACCATTAAACAATTTTCTGCCTCAATAGATTTCCCTACTCTAGAAATTCATACTAATGAAACCATATCATATATTATCTTTTGACAGACTTCTTTCAGCATCCATATGTTTTTGCAACTATATCTTATTTTATGTCTGAATTATTATTTTATTTTATGTCTGAATATTATTTCACTCTATGGCTATGCCATATTTTATTTATCCATTTGTTTATTGATCTGTGTTGTTTCCAATTTTGGATTATTAGCAATAATGCTGTTATAAACATTTATGTTAAAATTTTTCTTTGGACATACATTTTTATTGCTCTTAAGCATATATCTAGGAGTAACTCCCAGACTGTTTTCTCATACAGCTGGACAATTTTATATCCCCAACAGCAGTGTGGATCACAGCAGAATTTTGATTATTTGACATGCTTTCCAAAACTTTTTTATTACCTATCTGTTTAATATATGTGAAGTGGTATCCTGTAGTTTTAATTTATATCTTCTTCGATGGCTAAATTTTTGGAGCATCTTTTGATGTATTTATTGGCCATTTATATATTTTCTTTGTCTAGTCAAATAATGAAGAAGACAAGTCTATTCAAACACTTGTGCATTTTTAATCAGGCTGCCTTTTTATTACTAAATTGTAAATTTTTAATATATATGGCTGGTACAGGTCCCTAATCTGATAAATGTTTCTCTCATTTTATGGTTTATTTGTCACTTTCTTGACAATGTCCTTTGTAGCACGAAACTTTACAATTTCTATGAACTACAATCTATTTGTTCGTATTGTATCTAAAGTCTTCTTCCAAACTCAAGGTCCTGCAATTTCTTCTAAGGGATTTATAGACTTTACATTTTTAGTTAAGCCATTGGTCCATTTTGAGTTATTCATATATACTATGGCTGATGTCCTTTTTTTTCTTTTAAAGGTAACTTCTAAAATACCATATCATATAGTTACAAAGGGAATCATTTAACATCATAATATCAAAAACTGAAGAAAAAAATCTGAAAATATACTGCCTTCGATATTAACTTGGAAAAACAGCAGAAGATAATTTAGTTATCATAATAATTCATGAAAATAAGATTGAACATTAATTTTAAGATAAATACCATGCTGATATCAAGATAATTAGAATTTTCAATATTCAGGAAAAATTTAGTCTGTACTGTCTTCAAGAATGGTAAACACACATGCCTGTAAGAATAATAAGAATAATAAAATGCTATGCTAATACGTATAATATATAATAAAAATAACATCAGGATAACATAAAAACAAAGTACTTTTATTTCTTTCAAAAAATCCAAAAACAAACGAATGAACAAAACCAGGTAAATAAAGAAACTAACACAAAAACAAACAAAAGTCTCAAGTCATTCAGAGGTGAAAAGTAAAACTATTTAATAGTATTAAATGTGTACCAACCAGTCAGAACACATGCTTCCACTGTGTTTTCAGACTATCAGCCCCAAAGCTATGTCATTTTGTCAAAAATTGCTGTGTGATATAAATTTACAATATTGAGTTAAAGGTGTTATCTTAAAACAGATGTTAGGTTATAAAACATAGACTTTTCAAAAAGCATAACATGAACAACATTATAGTATAAAATGAAATTCCTCCATACAGATTTTACAATTTAAATGATATTTATAACACAGTTCAGTTTACTTTCAAAAAAATGTTTTGAACTAAATCCTTTAAACAACATTTTTTTTTTTTTTTTTTAGTTTTGTAGTAATGGGCATGAACCCAGGAGCATTGCCTCTTAGCCCTTTTAAATTTTATTTTGAGACAGGATTTCACTCAGTTGCACAGTCTGGCCTTTACTGTGTGAAATGTCTGCCTCAGCCTCTCCTGTAGCTGGGATTTCGGGTGTATGTCATTAAGATAGACCGCTATTTCATTTTGAACCTATGAAAACTACAAATCAAAGCTATAATTCAAACTGTGCAAATAATCTCACAACCCAGAAACAGATGTGGTTACAAAAATTGTTGAGTTAAATCTGGTATCATTGCTCCCAATTACAAAATAAAATTTTCTGTTTCAATTGGAGACTATATAAAAAATAATCTCAGTTGACACCAAGACAACTCCTCCCTTGGATCAAAATTCCCATGTTAATTTTCCAAAAGTGTTGTAAACATTCTGCTAACTAGCTTCAAACATTCACCTCAGCTTAGAGCATGCAAAGGAACAAAGGATGAAAACAGAATAGCAAAAGAGAAAGTCACTTCTATGTCAACTTGTCCCCATATGTACTGTGTGGCCAAAGCACTGCAACACTCACAGTGGAGACTTGCAGTCTTCCAACTCCAGAGAGTTTCAGAAGTGGGTACTTCTGCTGCCCACCCATGCTCCACAAAGGCAAGATACGCCCTGTGAACAGGCAACTCATTGCAAATCAAACACCAGGGATTTTCTTCCTTTTATTCTTATTTTTTTTAAGTGTGGTGAGATAAAGAGCAACTTTGACTGAATCCAGTTAATATTGAGAGGATCATCACCTCAGAGTATTTAAAACATCTTCTCTTTATTTAACAACAATAACAACAACAAAAACAAGCAAACAAAACCCTACTTGATCCAGTTCTACACACCCAGGTCACTTCTTAGACTGCAATTGACACTCTAGCAAGTATTCCATGAACTCAGGATGACCATTCATCACAGTTTGCTAAAGGGGCTAGGTATGTTGCTTGCTGTCATGGCATTAATTCCAACTCAGCATTTGCAATAATAGCCTCAGATCCATGAAAAGGGATCTCTTTTTATCTCTGCACTAGAGATCCCAGCTCACGCCTTACTCTAGCTTGACTTCCTGCCTTACTATGAGGAGCTATTTGAGTCAAGAAAAAATGTCCACCTAGAACTTAAGCCTACGCTTATTACCATGTCTTGGTTACCTAGGTTCTCGGAGATTCCAAAATAAATGGTTTATTCATATACCCAGGAACTGCATGACTTTTTGTTTGTTTTCTAAATTCCCCTTCCCAATGATGGACCACACCACTTCTATGTGCACTCTTAGCATTAGTGAGTGGCCATGTGATAGCTGTTTATATAGACAGGTGGACAGAACTCAGATGTACAGGCTGAAGTGTGTATTTGGGTATACATGCAAAGGCCCCATCTGTGCAAGGAGAAGCTGTGAATGAATTCAAAGAGAACTTCTGAGGGCCAGGTGTCATTTCATCCAATACTAGCATGCATATGCACAAATCTCCAAGGATTCTGAGATTTACCAGAATTTGAAATAATTTTTCTTAAATAATTATTTGTCAGATATAGGAAGTGATTTAATTGTTTTATGGCTTCCTTTATATATATGAACTATGTCAAATATATTAGTTCCCATTTGGACTGTGAAAATAGAGACCAAATATTTGTGCCAGCTAAACGCATCCTGCTTTGGTAATAAATATGTTCCTGTATTAACATCTGATCTTCTCTGGTTCCTGATTGAAAATACATATTAAATTGTTCTTATGTATTAACTATTAACTGTCTTTCTTTATTACTTTCTTTGCTTCTTTCTTTATTTGTCATATTTCCATTTTATGCTTTCATTATGCATATCAAACCTCATATTCACCTGCTATTTTCAACAGATCACAATTTAAAAATTTTAGCAACAACCATGAAGACAGGAAGTATTCTACACACATTATCCAAATAACTATATATTTTATATAAC